TTATCATTATCATTATTATTATTATTATTACTCAAAAAACAACAATAACGATAAAAAAAAAAAAAAATCAAGCCCCCCCCCCCCTCCGGACTTCCTCTCCGCTCCCGGCAAAAAGCGACGCATTCCAGAAATTCCAACGCCTCGCCATTCCTACGAAAGCAACGCGAGACGGAGGATCACGACCCCATGGGCGGCCTTAACGAGAACCTCTGCCCACGCCCAACCCCGCCCGCCAGGCCTCCCCCCCCACCCCCCCGCCCACGCGCCCACCGGCTGTCACCCTCGTCAAAGCCTGGGAGATTGGGCCGGACGCGTGGCTCGCCGAGGCTCAGCCGGAAATGGAATGGGGCAATGATGATGATGATGATGATGATATGATGATGGTGATGATAATGAGAATGAGGTAATGATGATGATGATATGATGATGGTAACGATGATGGTGATATGATGATGAGAATGAGGCAATGATGATGATGATATGATGATGATGGTGATGAGATATGATGATGAGAATGAGGCAATGATGATGAGATGATGGTGATATGATGATGAGAATGAGGCAATGATGATGATGATATGATGATGATGGATGATGATATGATGATGAATGAAATGATTGATGATGATGGATGATGGTGATGATATGATGATGAAATGATGATGTGGTGGGGTGATGATGATGATGATATATATGATTATGATATGATGATGATGATGATGATGGTAGTGGTGTGATGAAAATGATGATGAAGAGATGATGCGATATGATAAATGAAAATAATGACAATAACTAATGATATATATTATATGAATGAATAATAGTCACAATTACATCAACAGCAACAATGATAATAATAACAATAACAATGAGGAGGATTAGGGGGCAGGAGAGGAGGAGGAGGAGGAGAGGAGGAGAGGAGGAGGAGGAGGAGGAGGAGAGAGGAGGAGGAGGAGAGGAGGAGAGGAGAGGAAGAGAAGAAAAGATAAAGAAAGTACGAAAGTTTAGCTTACACAACTTAACCACACATTGAAACAATTGAGAGTAGGCCTACATCTCTACCGCACGGATATACAAAAAAAATAATCTAAATCTAGGCCTACAAGACTTTACCACAGAAATAATTGATGCCATTGTACCATTTTACCGTAAGTATACATCGATCGTAGGCCTACATCGCTCTAAGAATCTATGGATCTGAGTTTGAGTCGACAGTTATTTCCGGCAAAAGGTTACCAAGCTGAAAACAGTCGAGAAACGCTGCTCATGAACTTGCCTTCCTGTCTCGCCCTTCCTCTTGCTTTCACCCTTACTCTTACTTTTAGTTTTACTCTCTCTTTATCTCTGTCTGTCTCTGTCTCACTTTATCTATCTCTATTTCTATCTATCTCTATCTCTATCTTTATTTCTATCTATCTATCTCTCTCTCTCTGTCGGAGTTTCAAGCGCCGCAGAGTCTGTTTCCTCCTCCTCCCCGACCTCCCCCCCCTCCTCCATACCCCCAATCTCTGAAATCAAACCAACTTGCGATACGGGCACTCGAGACAAGGAAATAAACACTCGGTTGACCTGATAAAAAAGGGTCACAGTCAAACCCAACTCCAGTTCCTAATCTTATCACGGCCTGAGCGGGCGAGCAGGGACTGTCACTCGCTCATCAAAGATGCAAGGGATCGATCCCCGCCGTGACTCCCGCCCCGTGCGTACCCGGAAGCGGCCGCCGGCGTCGCCTCCACTCCGATCGGGCCGAGTTGTGTACGAGCACGTAACGTAAAACGGAGCTGGGAGGAGCCCGGACAGAGCGCCCTCTGTAGCCCCGGCTGCGAGCGCGGCGACGCGACGGGCTACTCCAAATGACGCGCCTTCTCGCTCCTGCGTCCGTCGCCTCCCTCCTCGGGGACACGCACGGAGAGAGAGAGGCGGTACGGCGCTCCTGCCATTCACACCCCGTCGGTGTGCATCCTAAACAGCTCGTGCATGACCGACCGACAGACGAACAAACCGAATGGCCGACGTCTATCTCGAAATCCGCACGGAAATCACCCGACGTCGTCCGGAGGCGGTGACGGTATGAACCCGCGCGTGGCAGAGGGGCGTGGAAGAAGCCCTCCTCCGCCGAAGGAGAGACGGCAACTTGGCCCTCAATCCCCGCCATCCACCCCTGCCTCCGTGCCATCCACCTGCTCCGAATTCTCCCGCTCGAGTGAAATCTCCTCGTTCCAAAAGCTGACCAAAAGGCCACGCGATCGCCAGCTGACTTTGACTTCCGTAGCGTCATATTACTCCCTGAGGCCATTTATAGATTAAATGGCCTCCGTCAACCTGGGGTTCATTTTCAACCAACATTACTCAAAACGCATTAACCTCTTCCTCATTCTTCCAAAGGTCCAACGTACAACCTTCCTGATTACTGATTACTGATCTCTATCGCTCTAGATACCCTATCACGCATACCCTCTTTAGACCACCATGGATGAAAAAAATACACGACAACAACAAG